TATTCCAGCTAGTTATGTAATAATGTGTAATATTAATTTATAAATCACCAACAGTAAAAAGATAAATTACCAACGTATCTAAAACAATGTTCTTCTCTAATATTTGGTGTATAGCATTGTTTTACTCTCAGAAATAAAATTGTTTCCTATTTCGTATACAAGATTAATAATTTTCAAAAATTAAAAAAGATGTTGTTTTTTTCTTGCAGAGAACGTTTAAATTTAATTGTTGTAAAATTTCGAAATAGGTATAAATTAACTTAATTCTTTTTACACTGATTTATGCGTGATTATACTTCAAGTGATTAAGAATAAAAAGTAACACTGGTACATTCCGTTTTTGATTGTTTTCAATCCCTCTTTAGGACTGACTGTTGTTCCTGCTATCTTTATGCTGCTAACAATGCCTTTTTGCCCAGAGTCTCCAAGATACATCCTGATCTTCCAAGGCAAGGAGGTGACAGCACAGAAAGGTAGTTCAATATATATATTAACGCACTAGTTCTCGTGTTTTGACAAAATCTGTGTTTACGTTACTTTTAAAAAGTCAACAGTAATGTGAAATGCTTTGCATTAAGTTAGGCCTTATTGACTCTGTAGTTGTAACAGTGAACTAAAACTGCAACCTTGAAATAACACTTTATATTTAAAGATAAACATGTATTGTCGATTGCAGCTGTCTTTAGGATGAATATCATTTTTAATAAATGTAATAAAAAATACACCAACTATTCCTCTAACTAAATTCAAGATTTATTTTCAAGAAAATATTGTACAGAAACATATCAAATATAGTAAATTAACTTAATATTTACAGGTCATATTTTTTTAATGACACCTGCTTTAAACAATAAACTCGTTGTTTGCTTACACGATTAACTGCACCCACAAAATTTTGATATCCGAGTATTACAAAAAAAAAGTAACACAGTACAATATTCATTATGGTTTTGTATCAAAATTCAAAGCCTTGTTATATTTAAAATTGTTACTGAATGGTAAATAATAACCTGAATATTTTTTGATCCACATGCTTAACACACTGCAGTGCGGTATTAATGTGTATGAAGTTGTAGATATTAAACTATATTTACTCTCTACTTTTTTAATTAGGAGAGTTTTACAATTAACGTCCATAGGTGGCTCTGATATCAGTAACAATACCTACAAATGATGTGTGTTTGTTAGCTCTATCTTTATTATTTGTACAAAAAAAAAATGTCAAACTATTTACATTTAGGTCTCTTCATTAATTATTTTTTTTTTGTGTGTGTTGTGTTGGCAGCACTGACCTGGTTACGTGGAACAGGCGATGTGCACGAGGAAATTGATGAAATGAAGGCCGAATTTGAGGCAATGAAGCTCATTCCTAAGGTAAGTGAAGTTGATGTAACAGGCCTAATTTTTTTGGCACTTGGGACCAACCCACTGACCTTTTATGCTATGTGGTTTAATATAATAATTTAAGGGAAGTTACTAATACTGATAATAATGTGCATGTAATCAATAAACATTATTATAAAAACACTTTTCTGCTCTTGCCTGTGATAATTGTGTAAAGAGCTATACTAAGATTCGTACTTAACACAAAAGCTGTATATTTCATGTACATTATTTTATATAATATTTAATATCCACAACTAATAACATATTTTGTGCATGCATTAAATAGTATAATATAATCTGTTTTCATGTTCTTTCAATTTCACAATCTGATGTCACATCCCTTATAGTTGTGTTGCGTCAACGAGGTCACGTGACTAGTGTCACGTCACCTGCTTTCTGGAAGTATCTTGTTCCTTCGTGAATGCCCTAGCATTTACTAGATATAAGTTAGTATGGTATATATATATATATATAAGACGCTCACAACGTGACGTGACAATGTGTGTAAGTAGTGAGTAATTGAACTGCAGTCAGAAAGTATTGCTGAAGTTAACGTTCGTTGTTAAAACGTTTGTTATAGAGCGACTGTTGAAAATAAGTGTATCGGTAAAGTTATATTCAGAAAGAATAAACCAGTTTTATTAAGAAAGGACTTGTGTCGCTAAAGTTTCGTCGGAACGAAGTTACGGAAAATCAGTTAACAAACGGAGACGTAACAGTTGTTATATGTACAATAATGTTTTATATACTGTCATGTGAAGTTCACCTTGTTACACAGAGTTAATCTTTTGTAAGCCTAAAATCAATTAGCAAGTGTCTTGTTTGCTCTAATGAAGCTATAATGGCACAATGTTGGCTTAAATAAAAAAATAGTTATGTTTTCTGGAGTAATAGGACTATTTTATTTATTTTTTACTGGAAATGAAGATTTATGTACTTAAGAATGCATTTTCAGATAAATATACCCAAATTTAATACTTCTCAAGCTTTTTTTCCCTATATTATATATAATATGTTTTTATTAAATTTAGACAGTTTTTTTTCCCTTATAGTGGCAATATTTCTTCAACTAAAACTAACTTGTTGTTCTCAGGTGACTGTGCAGGAGATGTGGACCAATCCCTGGCTCCGTACTCCACTGATAATTTCTGTCATGGTAATGTTATCACAACAGCTATCTGGTATAAATGCTGTAAGTGCTTTTTTCATTCTAATTTCTTATCTGATATATTTAGATGAGAATTAAAATGTAACTTTCAATGTCTATCTTTAACTTTTATAAATTAGGTAACAGTTTGTTGAATAGCCAGTATCTCTCTAAATATCGAATAGTGTAACAACATTTGTTGGATTTTCAGATGCTGTTTACATTTACAAGTTGTAATTCTCTGTTTAATTAAAACATTGAATTTGGAAGCATTCTGTGGTGTCCCGATTGGTATCGGGATGAAAAATCCATATTTTTCAGTGAAAAAGTTGGATATGAAAGAAATTTTGTGTGTTTATAAATTCGAGACAAGGATTGTTTGGCATGTTGTAACTATAACCGAAGTAATTACCCAGTTTCAGGGTATTGAAGACAGGATTCTCTATATGGGCATTCTTTCAGAGCTCACTAAATCTGAAGTATAGAACATGCTCAGTGATCTTTGCTACCACATCATACTTCATTTCATAGCCAATGTTCTTTCTAAGACATTTAACACTAGTCACCTAAATAACTATTCTTTTATATGATGTTCTTCACCATTAAAACGAATTTATTATAAAAGTGAAAAGTCCCATAGTTGTTTAGTTTATAATTACTTCGGTTATAGTTACAACATGCCAAACAATCCTTGTCTCGAATTTATAAACACACAAAATTTCTTTCATATCCAACTTTTTCACTGAAAAATATGGATTTTTCATCCCGATACCAATCAGGACACCACAGAATGCTTCCAAATTCAATGTAATTCTGCCTATGTAAACATAATGAACTGCATTATCGAAGAAAAAAAAAAAGCAAAATACCAACATCAAGTCATATAAATTTTTTCATGAAACTGAGCATCATTGTTATAATAAAACAACTTGGATATTATACCATAATTATAAACTAAATATTACAAAATGTTTAGTAACTCTTATCTTCAACTTTTGTCTTTCTACAGGTAATTTTCTTCTCCACAAAAATCTTTGAAGGTGCTGGACTAAACAAGCAGACTTCTTTGTCTGCCACCATGGGTATGGGAGGTATCAACGTGTTAATGACCATTCTTTCTGTGGTTCTAGTGGAAAGAGCTGGTCGTCGTACTCTACACCTAGTGGGGCTTGGAGGAATGTCCATCATCACAATTCTGTTGACTGTCTGCTTAGTCTTTAAGGTGAGAATTAAAGAAAAAGTACCTTCAGGTGGTACATGTGTGTATATATATCTTATATTATTTACAACGTTTCCTTTAGCCATAACTTTTAAGGTTCTAAATTACTTCAACAGTAAATGATACAAATAGAAGATTAACAAAAACTTGATCAACCAATGTTTTGTTGAAATTATAATCCACACTTCATCATGTGCAGATTCAGAGGTAATTACATTTCACTTATTTTACAAAGATAAATGTGAGAGTGAATGATCTAAAAGTCTCTTGTTTTTTCCTGTTTCTTTAGGAACACTCAGTTTGGTTCTCATACTTCAGTATAGTTCTGGTCATTGGCTTTGTTGTCATGTTTGCTACCGGACCGGGTAAGCTACTAACTGTGAAATACCAACCCTTTCTTTAATAACACTCCATGAGCAGTTATTGTAACTATATTTGGATAATGAATTAACATGGTCTGTAATCAATGAATACAAATAATTGAAAATTTGTTTGATAGACGAAATTTGAGGAACGATAGCATTATACATACATCTTCTGAGTAAATGTTTAAAAATAACATAGGAGTTTTTTTGTGTGCATTATGTTGTTAATTTAGATACTAACTTATCTAAGATAATACATATAACAATAGCATGTACCTTAACAAAAGTTACTTGGGGAGAGAGAATTCTGTTAGATTAATGAGCCTGAAAACTAAGAACTAAAAACAAATATCAAGTGGCAATATTAATCTCATGATGACCCGAGACTCGCAATTTTAATCAACGTCAACCCAGCCATGCTGGGTATGGCCTAGTAATTAGTATACAGGACTGTGAGTACAAAGGGTCCATGTGTCATGATCTATTACAGAAATATATCACTGGGATCAAGGGTGCATTATAAGAATGATTAGATAGCTCAAGAGTTGACAGTGGGTAGTTTTGGCTATAATTCCTAATTTACTATGTGTATTTACATGAAATGTGGCAAGCTATTAGTAAAATGTACAAGTCTGTTGTACACCAAAAAATCAGATATGTTACAACAGTATTTTTATTCAAACACTGATAACATTACTCAGACTCGGAGAAATCTGAGTGCAAGGCTGTTCCTGTGAAGAATAAAAATACATTTGTCTATTGTAGAGTTTTAAAATTCGTATCGATAGCTTTTTTTTATCAATATCCCTGTATATTGTATCAGGTTATTTAGTCTCTTCTATCACAAACTTGCTAAATCAACAGAATAGGATAAAATGAATAGTAGATAATTCTTACTTCAAATACATAAAAACCATATTTAATGGCACTATATGTAAAAGGTTGTGGCATGCATATCTCCACCCCACCCATGCAGAAAGAGTTAATGATATTGAGGTAGAGCAATTAGTCCTTGTGTAGCTTTGCATGAATATCTCACACAAACAGATTAGTGTGATTTTTATTTATCAGTTACGGTTCTGGTCTTTTGGAAGATACTGATTGCTCTTCACAATATAACTTGTACATTCTATCATTGGAACTTTAGATACGATACTCAAATTATTTACCCAGTTTCTTCTCATTAGTCATGCTTTCACAACTTTCTTTAAAAACACATTTATCCTGTATCTCCCATTACTCTTGCAATTCTAAATATTGATTACTGTTTCTTGCTTTTATTTATTTATTTCACAGATTTCTTTACTGACCACATTAGGCTTAATGTGGGTTAATGAAACTTCTTCCAATTCGTAACTAGTTATAAAAAAAGTTTTAATGAAAAACCTGTACTGGAACTGAACATTTGAATTAATTGAAGTTACAACAGTTTAAAGTTCTCTTTTTTCATTAGTTTGGTCAACAGGTAATAAATATTTATCACATTATTTTAATTGGCACGTCATATGTACTGTCTTCCTTATTTGAGTTCATTTTCATTCTCGTTATAATGGATGTGTTTGTGTTACGTTAAAAGCTAATTTAAAGGTAAGAGTATATTGTTTGTTTCAGGATCCATACCTTGGTTCTTGGTGGGTGAACTATTTGGTCAAGGAGCAAGGGCAATGGCCACAAGTATTGCTGTAGCTGTCAACTGGAGTGCCAACTTTGTGGTCGGACTTGGATTTCTGCCTCTTGTTGTAAGTTACCTTTAAATTGAATCAATCAGTGTTCTAAAGGCTATTAAATAATCTTACTAGCTCTTACTAAATACGAGGATGGAAAGTTCTATCTGAACAAAATTTAAAGTTTTAGTTTTATAGTTTAACGAGTATATGAAAACGTTACTTCTAGATAACTAACATTTCTAAAATGTTGCCTTATTTTCCAGACCATACTGGGCGATTATACATTCTTGGTATTTACTGCACTACTAGTTTTCTTTGTGTTCTTCACTTACAAGAAGGTTCCAGAGACCAAGAATAAGACAATAGAAGAGATTACAGCTATTTTCCGGCAGAAAACCTACCAGTAAAATTAATTGCGTGTAATGGTTGCTTAGAGAAGGCCTTGTTACAAGTAATATGTTTAGGTCAAGCAATGAAGGACCTGAATAAGTGTTAATACAAGTAATCCTCTCTCATCAACAATCCTAGGAAATGTGCTTTTTCATGCAAAAAGCATTTATAAAAAAAAGGCATTTTTAGACTGGGTTACAGGTACAAGAATATTACAAATGTTCTGTGGTAATACACTTTACTTTGCATATTTTTTTATTGGAAAAATCTTTATGCATTTATTAAAAATTTTATTTATTTATTTCCATGTTCTAAAAAAATCCTAAATTGTTTCTATCTCTGTATAATGTGATGAGTGGAATGATTGTAGTTTAGTTATTTTACCTAAAAGGTTAAGAAGAGTAAAAAGGGTTCTGGTATAAATTATTGTATTACACGTCTTGCACGAAAATACTGGCAGATTGTTTAAAACTTATAGTAAGTGTGATTTTACAGCACATTAATTACTAGTGTGTGTGAGAAGTGTGTAATTTATACAGATCATGAATATTTATTGTAGTATTTTTTTTTGCATCATCCCAAATTAGTTAACACATACATATATGGTCACAGGTATCTGTAAATATGATATGATCATTCTTCTGATAGATGGGTGTCTGTGCTTAAAACGTTTTTATATGATTGACTGGTTCTTAGTTTGTGGATTAAAATTTTTGATAAATTCAAAGGTTTTGTGACTGTTTTTATGAACCTTTAACAACATATCAAAAGCTAATGAATCAGACTACTTTCTAAAATATCCGTGACAATATACTTATCTTTAAATGAGCTGATCCAAGAGAGTAAGTGTGTTCAAGTTAACGTCTCATAAATTTTTTTAAATTGTTGAGACCCTGTTTTGTTTTTCTGTGTATGGGGCTCGCATATACCCGATTCAATTTTATTACTCATCAGGATCTATACCAGCCTACCCTCAAATTGAAATTCTTTTAGGCAAGATTAGAGTAAATTAATCTATGAGAGTTGGGTGGACTGGTCAAATATATCAATCTAAAGGGTTTGACCTGAGTCCAAGACTGGAATTAAATCTGAAATTACTCAACAGATGATGGAGCTATGAGCTAAAAGTTTGCACTATGCCGCAGCTAAAAATTAAAAGCAGGGTTATAAGTGCATCAGTTAAGAACATTGAAGCAATATTTAAAATTATCACAATAACTATATTGCATCAGTCATCTTAACACCTATACTATAAATTAGCAAAGTGTATTTTGTCTGTGAAGAAAACTTTCTGACCTTTCAGGGAGGGCTTGGTTTTCCCTTGAGGCATTCTAGACTTTCATACTTTATTATTTCTCTCATTTTAATCCCCCTCCTTTTAATTTGGTACTGATTACCATGAAACTTTCAGGGGTGCTAGGGTGTGGCTCCGAGCTCCAAGAAACCTGGAAGGACAAGTTAAATAGTATAGGTATTGAAAGTAGTTACATTACTATGAAGAAGTTAGCCAGAAGGGATGACGTTTTACAAACCTTCCATGCAACATTAGATCAGTTAAAAAGGGTGATACTGTTATCGACAGTATTGTTATAAGTTATGTTTTTTATGTTAGCTAGAGATTGCTGCGGATCCTAATCATATAAACCTAGAAAATTCTAGGAGATTTTACGTCAAATTTTCTTGAATATTCGAGGGTAGAGCTTAAATACAGGATCAGCGAAACATCGAGAAGATAGATGTTTTTTAGCTGGTAGAGCGAATCAGTCAGTATGTCCATGTTTTTGGACAGATGTTAGCTGTGACGCCTAGTTGGTGCAAGTAAGTTGATTTTCTTTTTTTTTTTACGTCAGTGTGGCTAAGAAGTTACCATAGTGGTAAAGCATGCAGGGAGAAATAAACTAATAATGTATGTGGACGTGTATTTTGAATAATTTTACCAGATAATTTAAAAGAACTCTAACAACAGAACACTGTTGCCATAGTTTTAGGCTTGGAAAGGCTGCTCATTTTATACGTTTTTTCTTACTTTTGTCACCAAGTTATAATGTCCCAAATAATATAGAATCTTACAAACAATGCTAAATTAATGTTGTAATTAATCTCACTAATTAAAATTTTAAGTTTCCTATGTAGTGACTCCAGTTATTTCTTCATACGAGTGCTATAACATAATACATGAAAAGTAGAAAACAGTCAGTGATATGAGGGTTAAGTAATAGTTAAACTGTTCAAATGACTGTAGTGAAATAATCTAATTCTCCACAAAGTAAGCTAAATGTGTCTAAAGTTTCATCATACAAGATAAGAGCCCCGAATTCTCTCCAAGTAAGATAACTGCTATTCAGCGTGTATGCGGTAAGCCGAATATCTCAGCTCACACACACACCTCCCAAATAATTGTAATAACCCCAAGTTTTGAGTAAACTCGGTGCTCTCCAATGTTTACCAAACTGTCACCGTGTTTCTCATTAGGTTAGGGCTTTGTCACATTTAAATAATTCACTTTAGTGAAGAAGATGTGATACTCATTTAAACTCCAAGTTTAATCAAACTTAATATGGAAATATCAGCTAAAATATTTCTTCCAGCATCCTGAGACTAATATGCTCCTTGGATCGACATCAATCGTGTCCTTTACTTATGCAGAAAATGCTAACTATTTGATTACGTTAATTCTTGAGAAATAAACTGTAGCAAAGTTACGCTTTTACAGTGTTTAAGAATTATCCAATAGTCATTTAGTCAATAACGACTTCCCCACATAATAAGCTAATTTTATAAACATTTTAGAATAATATTGTCAGTAGATGGCACCACTTAATTCTACAAGACCTATCTATTTACATACATATTTCTGCTACATGTACCTTAATAGTTTTGACTATTGTTTAACCGATAAAAAGCAAGTGATTATGTATAAATACTGCATCAAAAACTAATGTGACACAAGCAGACGACAGGCATAGAGAATCATTCTGTGATATTGCACGCATGACTAAATCTTGTTATACTCTACTCTTCAGATATAGCCTATACAATATTATTGTTTTAAAGAACAAACCATTTTACAAGCTGAGAAAATCTAGGGGCTTTAGGCCCTCCGTGCTTGTTTTTCATTTGATTGTTTGTTTTGAATTTCGCGCAAAGTTAAACAAGGGCTATCTGCGCTAGCCGTCCCTAATTTAGCAGTGTAAGACTAGAGGGAAAGCAGCTAGTCATCACCACTCACCGCCAACTCTTGGGCTACTCTTTTACCAACGAATAGTGGGTTTGACCATTACATTATAACGCCCCCACGACTGAAAGGGCGAGCATGTTTGGTGGGACGGGGATTCGAACCCGCGACCCTCCGATTGCAAGTCGAGCGCCCTAACCACCTGGCCATGCCGGGCCTTTTCATTTGAACAGAAATTAAATGCGACGCGCAATAAAGATGGCGGGTGGTGGTCATTTCCGAACGAAGGTTTATTAGATTAATTGGATATGAGGAATAGAATTAATTTTAAATCGTGATATGATATGTCTTAACCATAACTCTCTGGTTATGTATTTGCTAGAAATATGTTACAAGTACGGTCTAATGACCAAGTAAGAAAGCAATTTCAGCTAATTATCAATAGATGGCTCTCGAAGACAAGGATGCTAAATCCAGTACTATATTTTGCGATTTGTTCAGATACATTTTTCCAAGCCCTATGCTCGTGTTATGTACCACGTTGTTACTGTTAGAAGCTGCTTGTAGAAGGTAAGCCATATCTCGTGTGCAAATCAATAGGCCTAACATTATTTATTAACGTCTATAAGTCTCGACCGAAAACGCTCGATAATAACAACAATTAGCAACTGTTTTATTTACCCTGATGATACTACGTTTAAGGCGTTTTTTTTATACCCCAGATGTTCATCCAAGTTCGAGCAGGGGCGTAGCCAGTGGAGTTGGGTCTGAGGGTTCTACAGATTCTCCATATTTTCCGACGCCCCTTCTTAACTTGTAAGTGCAATTGAATATAACCGGTTATTCAGCATCGAAAATTGTAGTGCATAATAATAATAATATATGAAAATAATAATAAATTAATTAATTAGTAACCCTAATTTGTTCTAGTAAATGTCGTTTTAATATATTGCATTTTTATTTACCATCTAATGTTATTTACGTATCAGCTTTCATTCGTTTTAATTTTTTTTCTGGACGACTCCTTGTCTAAAAGAAAAAGAATTATCTCCCCCTACTCAAAATTCTGGCTACGCCGATGTATCCGAGTTGTGGAACCATTGTTTCTTTTTGTTGCTATGGCGATGTTATCCGAAAGATTTATCGGAATAATTTTAGTTTCAGATTTCTAAATATGGCAAAAACTTTACTTAGGTTACCAACGATATCCAATAATAACATCCAATAAATCATATTGAGTAGTGCCATCTAACGCACTACATAATTACTAAATTACGCCGAAGTGATCTCCAAGATGGCGCACAGCATACGTACACAAAATTCTAAGTTGGTACAGTTATCATTACTGCTCTAACAGTGTTGGTCACGTAACATTTCTAAGGTGTTTAAACGACTCGATGGTCACTTCAAGCTGTGTTTTATATACAGAAAATAAAAACTCGTAAATCATGCTCCAAATGAGGATGAATTTTAACCAGATTTAACAACTTTACAAGTGGGTGTTCCTCGTTTATTGAATTTCCTTCCAAGGATAAAGGTAGACAGTCCTGTTAAGTGTCTGTGATACTTTACACATACCCTAACGAGCTTTTATTAAACGTTGTATGATATTTGAATACAATTTGCATGGGTGTCAATCATTCAGGTGTAAATACTGTAGACACCATCTGTCATACAATCATAATACATTAAACGTGTCAACAAATACTGTCAGAATGAACTGTGAACCTTTTCTATAAAACTTATCTTTCACTCCCCCTATCGGTGTAGAAATCTAATACAAACTAAGATTAATTTTACATAAATTTCCTATATTTACAAAATAGAACTTAGTCAAAATCTAAGAAAGACAGAAAAAAGAATAAAGCTGGAAATAACTGATGTAAAACGTTCCCGAGACACTTATAAGTCACCGTTAGGGTGAACATTTGCTTGTATTTAATAACTTTTCACATAATTTGTATTAAAGGTCAGAGGTCATTACTTTAAATATACAATATGTGTGAGTCTTCAACAGAGCGATAGTATACAGGTATACTGGATATAATATTGTGTGCTACTGATATTTAGGTTCTCACCATCACAATTCATACATTTTAATCCCCACGGCTAATGAGGGCGAGCATGTCTGGTGTGACGGGGATTCGAACCCGCGACCCGCAGATTGCGAGTAGAGCGCCCTAACCACCTGGCCATGCCGGGCCCGGACTTTAATGAACGTGTGTACAAAGAGAAGATCAGAGTCACCGAACATGTGAAAATTTTGGATTCGTGACGAATGTCGGACCATTGACAACGTCACAAATATACTTCGCAGTGTTCAAAGAGAATGGAAATACCGACTCCAAGCTATTTTCTAATTACTAGGACATCGTGTGGAACAAATTCTGTAAAATTCGTTGAAGATGGTTCCAGACTTTTCGGACACCCAGTATATAAGGATTGATAATCTATGAACCTGTCATGTATCTACTTAAAAACTTTTTATAAGCATGTAGTGGCAGCGCAATTTTTTTGGGGCCTACGTACTAAGATCTATGACGAAAACAATA